AAGGCAAAGTAGCATGGACGGGAGATGAGGTGCAGCAGCCGCTAGGCACTCCAACTCAAACTGCCTGTCCTCAAGAACGTCACAGCCAAGGGCAAGCTCATCCCTAACGGATGGAGGACAGTCAAAATCAAAAACAAGACTCGCAGCGTAGTCAATGCGGCATAGAGCAGCAAAGTCAACAAGCTCAGCGACTGAGGCAGACGCAGCAGGAGACGAAAACGTAGGGTCAGTCAAAGCCGTAGTAAGAAGACGAGTGACAGACGGACTGACAGCACGAATAAGGTCAGACTCAGGGTAAGGAACGTAAGGAAGAGAAGACGCAGGAGGCGACAACAGGACAGCACGCTGTGGAACAGAGGAAGGACGAAGAGCCAGGATGCGTGCCTGGGACAGGTGGAGGACGAAGACGGGCAGCACGACGAGTACAGACAGGCGTGACAGGATGCGACGCAGGCTCTCTACTCTCAGTGGAGGACTATGCCACCGCAGTGTAAGGAGCAGGTGCAGGCAGTGGGGAGTAAGGCAGTAACTGTGGCTGAGACTGGTCAGGCGGTAGGAACAGTAACAGAGGAGTAGTGCCAGCAATAGGGAACTCAGTAACAGCAGGCAGGAGACTGAGAAGGTGACGGGGCGCAGACGGCTGCTGCTGAGTAGTCGCACCCCTAGAACCTCCAGCTCCTGGACAAGAACCTCCAGCACCAGCACCTCCAGCACCAGGACCTCCAGCTCCAACAATAACAGCAACCCCAGTACCAGCACCTCCAGCTCCACCACCGGGGCTGCCCCACTGGACAGCCCACTCGCGAAGCTGCTGCGGCGAGAGCGACTCTTGCCTTCTAGCACCAGGACCTCTAGCACCACCAGTGTCAGCACCTCCAGCACCAGCACCTCCAGCACCTCCAGCTCCTGTACCTCCAGTAGCACCTCCAGTGTCAGTACCTCCAGCACTAGTACCTCCTCACCTCCAACTCCAATACCTCCAGTAGCACCTCCAGTGTCAGTACCTCCAGTACCAGTGCCTCCAGCACCTCCAACTCCAGTACCTCCAGCAGTACCTCCAGCTCCAGCACCTCCAGCTCAGCCACCGGGGCTGCCCCACCGGACAGCCCACGCACGAAGTTGCTGCGGTGAGAGGGTCTACTGTCGACTCGGCTGCCGCTGACGTCCACTTCCGGAGGCTCGAGCAGGAGTACCCACGCCCAGACCACAAGTAGGACTCTCAGCACCCCCAGAACCAGCACCCACAGAGTCAGCACCCCCAGTGTCACCACCTCATGTAGCACCAGGGTCCACAGCAACTGGCTGCAGAGGTGGTGAAGACGGTCGAGGCAGAAACCCAGGAGGGGTCTCCAAGCGCGGTGAGCGGCGAGTTGCCGCAGTGTCTTCAACAGCTGGGTCACCCCCCTCAGTTGGGCCAGAGGTGTCGGAGGAAACCTCGAACGGCACAACCAAGGGGGGTGGGTCAACTTGGGACACACCTGAGGGAGCAGGACCTTGAGGAGGAAGGGGGGCTACCGGGGGGGTGGGGGGGTCGAGAACCAAGGAGAGAGGTGGGAGGGGTACCGGGGAACTGCGGTGGGGGTGAAGACGGTAGAAGCAGACGGACTCGTCAAAAGTGACGTCACGGGAGGACAGCACACGACGAGAGCCCGGGTGGTAAAACTGCCAGGGCGGTGCGTCGGTTGGAAATCCAAGGAACACGCACTGAAGAGTGCGCGGAGAGAGCTTGACCGCGGGCAGGTCGCGGACAAGAGAGAGGGAACCCCAGACCCGATCACCAACCTCTCCCGTCCACCGCAGAGTAGGGGAGGTCTCTGGGTGGGGGACACGGGGCCAGAGGTTGAGCTGCTGCGCGGCGTATCGGACCGCAAACAGCCACAGAAAATGGGGAGCAGCCTCATGGATCATGGAGGTGCGAGCAACCTCCATGACCAAGCCAATGCGCCAAGCCAATGCGCGGTGTAATCCCATTCAGCTGCGAAGAGGTCGGAAGCGGGAACGACTGGGTGATGCCCTCAGCACCACAGAAGTCCTCGAGGAGGCGGGATGAAAACTCACCACCTCGGTCAGAGTGCAGCCGCAGGACCGGGAGGTCCTGCCAGAACCGAGCGCTAAGCTGGAGACGGACAGCGTGGATCCAGCGGATCAAGATACTGCGAACATCCGCCTTGCTCTGCAAGGGGAAGACTGTGGTGTAGCGCGTGTAGTCATCCACAACGAGCAGAAAGTAGCGCTCTCCACCCTGTCCAGTGACGCGGGCTGGGCCCCACACGTCCATGCGGAGGGTTTGCAGAGGAGCAGTGGTAGGAGGAAACAAGGAGTGAGGAGCGGCGCGCTGCCGCCCCTCGACGCAGGGAAGGCACGGCGGTGCAAGCGACCTCGGGAGCGGGGGCAGGGACCTGGGAGGCCAGACACAAGGAGACGAGAGTGCATGCCACGCAGGCGTGGCAAGGAGGGGTGACCAAGACGGTGATGCCAGAGGAGAGTCTGGTGCGTGAGGAGACGAGACGAACAAGATGCAGCTACCTAAACCGATGCAGCTACCTGACCTGACTCAGCCACCTGTGCAGACTCAGTGTTCAGTGTGTACAGACCAGACCCGGGCCTCCGAGTGAACATGGTGAGGTGCTCGCCAGTGCATGAGTCCGTACAGATCGCCACGTGCTCTCCCCCAGGCTGGGTGGTAGTGACAAACTGGTCCTGGAGGACAGCAGTAGCCACCAAGTTCTTAGCGAACGAGGGGAGGTGGAGACATGTGAGGAGGCCGGAAGGGGCTGCCGGACACAGGAGAATAGTGGAGCTACGTGCCACTACTAGGCCACCGGAGGGGTCAGCCAGTGTGACAGGGACAGAGGCTGTGAGCGGTGTGACTGTGGTTCTGTCGCGGAAGAAGCAGCGAGACGCGCCTGAGTCTAGAGTGAAAGTGTGCAAGGCCTCCTCAGGCGCTGCACCTGTGCTAGCCGAATCACAAGCACCTATACTAGCAGCCTCTACACTAGCAGCTCTAGGCACACACAAGTAAGAGTCATCCTCGACACTAGCAGAAGCAACATAAATCGCATACATGCAAGCATGGATCACGTCCCAATCACAAGCAAACACATCGATGTCCTTCTTCAGCAAGGCTAACCAGTCTGGGGTCTTCAACTGCTCACCATGCTCCGCACGATATAAGTCGTCGGGGCGAAAGAAGCAGCAAGGCTCTGTGTGGTCCATGCGGCTGCAATTCGCTCCAGGCTGACGTGTGCGACGGACATACGGGCAGCGAGCTGGGCCACCGGAGCTCCCACGCTGGATCGCCCACTCACGAAGCTGCTGGGACGGCACCTGTCGACTCAGCTGTTGCTGCTGACCACCCCTAGAGCCACCTCCACCATCCGCTGCACCACCAGACGCAGAAGTACAAGTGGCTGAACCTCCGGATCCTCCTCCGCCAGCTCCACTCCGAGTGCCACCCCCACCCCCTCCACCACCCCCATTTCTCCCACCACCCCCTCCTCCTCCTCTGCCGCCTCCATCTCCTCCTCCCCCACCACCACCACCCCCGCCACCACCACCGCTACCCCCGCCACCCCCACCACCCCCACCATTGCCACCCTTGCCCTTGCCGCTGCGGCGCCTCCCACTAGGACCAGACGCAACACCGACCTCCTCAGCACTAAGGAAGTCCACAGCAGCAGCAGAAGTAACAGACAGCGCGAGCAAGGAGGGGGAGCACCCCTCAAAGACAAAGGGGAGGGGAGTGACATGGGAGGCAGCGACAGCTAGGGCAGCGGACTCAGCCTCTAAGAGACGGGACTCAAACGAGGCGAGGGTGATCTTTGTGGTGTCACGATGTAAAATTGACTAAAACAGAAAGTACAAACAAGATATATGCAAAACCTAACCCTAGTGCAAGCACAAAATAACACAAGGGAGAATACCTAGACTAGAACTACACAAACTATAGAATTATAGTTTGACACACCCCCATAGTCCCACTCTCTGATCTCACCTTTTGCGCGTCTAGTCAGCATGTGCTGTCATTCTGACACTATGAGTTGGCAGGGAATCACTCCCTGCCAAGCTGCGCGAGAATCAGATTCGCGACCCTATATGTTTTTGACTCGATTACAGTCGGCAGAACGAGATCTACAGTTTGGTGTAAAAGGAATAGAAATTATTTTTGCCATTTTATAAACGCCGGCGCTTATAAAATTCCTCGATTATAAGCGCACCCCCTAAAAAAACAGTGTTTTTTTATACCCCCAAGGGCGCTTCTATCCGGGGGCTGACGGTATGACTGAGCATGAGTTTCAGGACGTTTTCCGTATAAGCAGGGGTATAATGCTTACGATAGCGGAAGGCATGGATCGGGTTTTCAGTTCTTACACGATCAACCATAACATTCCATTGCGACTGTGTGTTTTGCATCGGCACCGTCCTACATCGACATGTCCATTTTCTTTGGAGTCTCCAAGACACTCTATCATACACTGGTTGGCACTTTTATGGTTCATTTTCCAAGGCTCTTCAAAGCAGATTGGGTTAAGTTCCCATCCCCTGAGGACCTCCCGAGCATGGCAGCAGATTTCAACAAAATCAAGGGTGTGCCTAACGTGGTAGGCGCCGTGGATGGGACTCACGTTCCGGTTCGGGGCATGGAGAACCATCGCACGGAGTATTACAACCGGAAATCTCATTACTCCGTGCAGTTGCAAGTAACGTGCGATGCGAAAGGGATCATTTGGGATTACATGGTGGGGTACCCAGGTGCAGTACATGATCATAGAGTGTTTGTGAAAAGCAAGTTGTACGAGCGGTTGGAGGAGGGAGACCTAGGTGACTACCAGCTGTTGGGTGATGCTGCGTATCCGCTACGCTCCTACTGTTTGACTCCCCTACATGCACCGTCCAAGAGATTGTTCAAGGGGTGGGAACAGCTATTCAACTACGCCCAATCGGCAACAAGGATGCCGGTAGAAAGGTGCATCGGTGCTCTCAAAGGGCGCTGGCGTCTGCTAGGGAGAAGGCATGAGTGCCGCCTTGGGCGAGTTTGTGCAGGAACGGGCTGCATCATCATACTCCACAACATGGTCACGAAGTTGATGCAATACCGCCTGCGCAGCAAGAAACCAGACAAGGGGAGGAAATACAATGGCGTGGGCAATGGCTGGTGGATGCGTGGCATCATGACACGGTTCCAGTGGCCGTCCTTGCAGCGAGGGTCAGCAAAAGAGCTACAGCGCAGGCGGAAGTACTTCGGCAAGTGGCTAAGGAAGGCATACCTGAGGCGCAAGCGCCAGGCTACTGCTGCCCCGTAAAATCAAATGATGATGGCGCGCCATCCGTTTCAAGAGAGTTGCCACTCTCTCCAGATGCGGGTAGAGGCGTGCCCTCGGGGGGGTGCTCTTCCCCACCCACGGTATGAGGAGGCACGGGAGCGCTCTCGGGTACGACGTGGACAGGGGTGTATGTTGCACTGCAGATTCTGGAGTCGTGGTGGCTGCCGCGACCGCACTCATTATCATGCGGGTAATGGCCTCCAGCTTGGCCAAGCCCCGCTCATTGCACTCTCTGAGGGTGTCTGCAATGAGCTTAGCTCCAGCAATCGTTGCGCTCTCTGACACGCGTCTGCTTCGCACGGGTGTAGGGGTGGGTTCCGCCTTTTCTGCGACCGTGAGGCCTGGATGGTTGGGAAAAGCACATGGTAGTTAGGGTACGGGTGGTGATTGGGTAAAATGCGGGTTGGTTCCGAGAGGTTGTCATGGCCCTGTATTAAAAGAGATAATAACTTGATATACCATGCAGGATCACGGACAGATTATCGATTCTGTCCCTGTCCTAAATAGAGGCACGGACTGATAGAGAGAGCAAGGGGGAAGGGACATATCACGATAGGAAACAGAGAACAGAGAAAGAGAAGGAGGGGGAAAGGACTGTGCGGCATGAGGATCAGAGATAGAGAGGGAGGGGGAAAGGGAATGAGCGACATGAGGAACGGAGAGAGAGAAGGAGGGGGAAGGGACTGAGCGACATGAGGAACGGAGAGAGAGGGAGGGGGAAGGGACTGAGCGACATGAGGAACAGAGATAGAAAGGGAGGGGGAAGGGACAGAGCGGCATGAGGAACGGAGAGAGAGAAGGAGGGGGAAGGGACAGAGCGACGTAAGGAACAGAGATAGAAAGGGAGGGGGAAGGGACAGAGCGGCATAAGGATTGGAGATAGAGAGGGAGGGGGAAGGGTCTGAGCGACATGAGGAACGGAGAGAGTGGGAGGGGGAAGGGACTGAGCGACGTAAGGAACAGAGATAGAAAGGGAGGGGGAAGGGACAGAGCGGCATGAGGAACGGAGAGAGAGAAGGAGGGGGAAGGGACTGAGCGACATGAGGATTGGAGAGAGAGAAGGAGGGGGAAGGGACTGAGCGACGTAAGGAACAGAGATAGGAAGGGAGGGGGAAGGGACAGAGCGGCATGAGGAACGGAGAGAGAGAAGGAGGGGGAAGGGACTGAGCGACATGAGGATTGGAGAGAGAGAGGGAGGGGGAAGGGTCTGAGCGACATGAGGATTGGAGAGAGAGAGGGAGGGGGAAGGGTCTGAGCGACGTGAGGATCAGAGATAGAAAGGGAGGGGGAAGGGACTGCACGACATGAGAGGTGGAGAGAGAGAACGAAGGGGGAGAAACTAATCAGGATACGGAAACGGAGAGAGAGAGAGGGGGGACTGGGCGACATAAGAAACGTAGAGAGAGAGGAGGAGAAACTGACAAAGCGAGAGGGAAGGTAGGAGATTGAGTGACATACCTGAAGGTCCAGCTTGGGGACCGTGTGACACACTGGGTGTCGCTGGAGCTGGGGCAGGCGGCACAGGGTTTGTCAGCGGATCCGCGTCGTTCTGCGCGGCGCCGCCACCGTCGACCACGTGCGGGTTCACCGCGGCGGTTCCAGCACGGATATCCTCCATGAAAGTGAACCAGCCGGGTCGGGCAACATTTCCGCCACCAGACATGGCGAGCGCTTCGCCAATCTCCTTGTAATCCTTCTCCAATCGCTTCCACTGCTGCTTCATAGCCTCCGATTTGCGTGTCCAGTTGGGATTCGCCTTCCGAAGGTGCCTCCTGAGCTTCTTCCAGTACTGTGCTCCTTGCTTGCCCTGCATGGACTTGTGTGAACCATCGTGCAGCAGCCAACTCGGTCATTTCGTTTTCAGACCACACCTAGAATAAGAGGGGACAGGGGGTGGGGGAGCGGATCGATTTAGAGAGCGTGCATTTGACAAGACATTGTTGGTAAAAAGTGATGCACACAATGCTGACATATAACGAACGGGCAGTGAGAAGAGTGAGGGAAGGGACATCTACGGCCGGTGGGTCATACCTTGCGTTTTTTCTTGGGCTTCAGCGCCTTCCGTTTCAGCTTTTTCTTGCCTTTTGCGTTGATACCGCCCAGGCTCGCCGCATCGACTTCGGTGGTGTCCAATGCGGGGTCCTCGTCGCTGTCGGAAGTGTTGATCGTAGCGTCAGAATCGGCCTCGCTGTCACTGCTTTCGTACGCATAAAACTCCTCCGGCTCGGATTCGGAGGTCGCAATGTCCTCCGTTTCAGGTTCCGGTCGCACTTTTGCTTGTGTTCAAAAGTGCCGTGCAAGGGCGGGAGCATTGAGAGTCAGAGTGGTTGTCCGCCCAAATGTCCAACTGACATTGACCGCTGACTGTCAATGTCTAGGTCGCGCGGCCGTCTGTGGAGGCGGGATTATAAGTCGCCCGTTGAGTGGTCTAACTCCCCTAAACCAATCAACGTCAGGACCTGGGTGACGAGATGTGGTTACTCTCGGCAACTCATACACTAAAAATCGCCCAGGAAAAGTGATCGTTGACACGAGCTGTAGTATTACAGCTCGTGTCTTCCCATATGTTCGGATGACACCAATGCCGGATGACCCGAAGTCAAGAATACGCCCTTACTCCCGCTCACAACCGCACCCAGAAAATGGCCTCCAAACAAATCCTTCGCCGCTCCTCCGACATCCTCCACGCCTCCTCCGCGCGCGCTCCCACCTTCCGCCAAGCATCATCCGCGCTGATGCAAGCGCAACCTTCCGCACAATACGCCACGGCGTCGTCCTCCGCTTCCGCCTCCCCCGCTCTGCCATCCGCGTCCCTTTCCGCGCGTGTTCCATTCGGATCGCATGTGTCAGGTATTGCTAGTTGCACTGTTGTAACGGGGCGTGCTTAGATCGAAAGCGCTGGTGTAGTTTCTCGGTCGGACTATGTTTCTTCTAAATTCCAACTTGTCGAACTCGGTCGAATGCATCTGAGTGAACGGCTTTTGAGTCGAGCCCTTTCCTCCTCTCCTCTCTCCTCTCCTCCCCTCCCTTCGCTCCCGTGCCTCTCCCCTCTGCTTCTCCCCTCTCCTCCCCTCCCGTCCATACCTTCCACTCGTCGTCCTAACACCAGCAGCATCCTTCTAGCATCGAGGCTTCGCCATCACGGCCACGGAGGATCTCGTGAAGCTGCCATGTGTCAGCGATCCGAGCGCGCTCAGCACGCTCAAGGAGGCTCTGGCGACGGGCTGGGTGCCGTGCGACGCCTCCTTGATCGCCAAGATCGACAAGAGCATCAAAAGCACCGAGTGAGACGACAGCACTTACAGCACTCTGGCAATGAGTTTGGCTCCGTGTGACTCCCCTGGGTTGGCCCCTTCTTCGCGGAGAGAAATAGAGTTCAGCGGTTGTCAGTATAGTGAATGGCTGACGTCATTTCGAGCTCTGAAGAAGGTGTGTTGAGCCTCCCAGCCTTCCAGGCTCTTAACCTCCCGCTAGAAGGTCACGGTAACGAAGGTGTCATGAGCATCCAAGGTCCGACATATAGGATCTAGGCAGCGTGCAACATGTAACATCCAACATCCGCGTGCATCATGCAACTTGCAACAAGCAACCAATATCCAACATCCATGCAGGAAGTCGTGTCCCCAACCTCTCCATTCCTCCCCACCCTTTCACCCCATCTTCTGTCCTTCCTCTTCCCCATGCCATCGTGGGCATCTAGTGCCGACCAATCATCTTTGGGCCACCTCAAACAAGTTTCTCTCTATTTCGTCTTCATCCCAGCAGTGATGACAGCTGTGTCAGCGATGCAGGACATGGCGCAAGAAGCGTTGCCATCGCTGACTGACATGGCAGCAGCAGCCCACGCGGCAAACGTGTTTAAAGAAGCTGTGCTTGGTGTTACCAATCTCACCTTATTTCCCTCCCTCTCCTCTCGCTCTCTCGCATGGAAGCAGTGACATTTCTGCTGCTTCTTTCCAGTAATTTAGGTCTCGTTCGTTTTATTGTGCGCTTTTCAATTTCCATTTCTCGCCCCCCCCTCTCCTCCCCCCCATGCTGTGTGCCATCACTGACGCGGTAGCGAAGGAGGCGCTGTCGGCGCTCAAGGCAGCAGCGGAGGCGGTGGAGGTGTTTGGGGAGAAGCTGGAGCTGCTGCGCCTGGAGCTCGCGGGGGCAAGTTCGGTGGCGAGGTGAGCGTCTGCCTATAACGAGGATGTGCTCGAGGTCACAGTGCTCCCCTTGCTGTCAAACCATATCTGTGCTAGTTGTGTGTAGGCTATAGTGGGGTAGCCCATGTGGGGTACAACCTAATATTAGGGTTAGTACTTGTACCCACATTTCATTCAATGCAATCATTCCTGCTTGCTATCTTGACATGGTTTCAGAGCAGTAGGTCCGTAGGACCGTTTTTTTTTTCCGGGCCCACCATACTTAGCGACCGACTGCGGTTACCGCGTTACCCCACTACCCTGCGTCGCGCTGCCCCGCGCACGCCCTGCCCTGCCCCGCGTCGCGCTGCTCTGCGCACGCCCTACCTTGCCCCGCGTCGCGCTGCCTAGCGCACGCCCTGCCCTGCCCTGCCTCGCGTCACCCTGCGCCAGCGCCCTGCCCTGCGCCAGCGCCCTGCCCTGCGCTAGCGCCCTGCCCTGCGCCGGTGCCCTGCCCTGCGCCAGCGCCCTGCCCTGCGCCAGCGCCCTGCCCTGCGCCAGCGCCCTGCCCTGCGCCAGCGCCCTGCCCTGCGCCGGCGCCCTGCCCTGCGCCAGCGCCCTGCCCTGCGCCAGCGCCCTGCCCTGCGCCTGCGCCCTGCCCTACGCACGCGCTGCTGCCCTGCGCGTCGCGCCCTACGGCAGCCCGCGTGTCGCGCGCTGCTGCCCCGCGCGTCGCGCCCTACGGCAGCCCGCGAGTCGCGCGCTGCTGCCCCGCGCATCGCGCTCTGCTGCAGCCCGCGCGTCGCGCCCTGCTGCCCCGCGCGTCGCGCCCTACGGCAGCCCGTGAGTCGCGCGCTGCTGCCCCGCGCGTCGCTCTCTGCTGCAGCCCGTGCGTCGCGCCCTGCTGCCCTGCGCGTCGCGCCCTGCTGCAGCACGCGCGTCGCGCACTGCTGCCCTGCACAGCGCGCGCCCGCTGCCCGCGCCGCCCAGGCCGAGCCGAGCCGCCCTACCCGACCCGATCCGCCCTGCTGCTCGTGCTACTGTTGCTGCTGGTGGAGGTGCTGCTAGGAGTGCTGGAGGTGATGCAGCCTAGCTTCACCGAGCCGCTCTGCTGCTCTTACTGCTGCTGCTACTCCTCGTGCTACTGCCTTCACTCCGTACTACCCTAGAGGTCGCGCTCCTCCTAGCTTGCCCGCCATGACTTCACTCTGTAGTAGCGGTGGGAGTGGTGACGGCGGTGGTGGCAGCAGTGGGAGTGGTGGCGGCCGTAGTAGCAGTCACTGTGGCGCTGTTTGGTGCGGAGTTTCTGGCGGTGGCCAGATGCAGCTACGGCGGCGTCCGACCCTTACGTCCCAGCAGCTTCGTGAGTGGCTTTACCAGCGTGGGACGTCTCCGAGTCCTGGTCGCTGCCCGTACGTCATTCGCAAGGTCGTCGAGTTGGTCAGACCTGTGGGACACCTGGTCACGCACAGTCCCGCTGCTTCGCCTATTTGAGTGACGCCTGGCACGCAGAGTTTGGCGACGAGGCTGAGATCCCCCACTGGCTTGAGCTGCTTAGGTCGGGCGTTGATGTCTTTGCTTTGGACTATGACGCCATCTTTATTGCTATGTATGCTTTGCCTGGTGGTGCTGAGGGTGACTATTACCTGTGTGTGCAGTACGACCCCGGTATAGAGGTTGCTGCTCTAGGTGCTAGTGAGGCTGCTGCCTTAGGTGCTAGCGAGTCTGCTCTCTCAGGTACTGCGCCTGCTGAGGCCTTGCACACCTTCACGCTTGACTCAGGTGCTTCCCGCTGTTTCTTTCGCGACAGTACCGCACTCACGCCACTCCCTGCACCTGTGCAGTGTCTCTGGCTGACCCCGCAGGGGGCCCAGTTCTTGCACGGTCCTCCACTGTGCTTCAGTGCCCGGCGGTTCCGTCTGGCTCACTGTCAGGTCTTCTCCTCCCCTCGTTCTCCACTCACAAGGTGAGCGGCGTAGTCAAGGCGGTGGGAAGAGGCAAAGGCACTGACAGTAGTGACAAGGGCCGAGACATACATCGGAGGGGCAATCGGGTGAGTGACCAACGCGGGCAGAACACGGGAGACGACATGGCGAGAGGCACGGAGGTAGTCGGACAACGGGTCGTGAAACACAGTGAGGGACGACTCAGGAGGCTGTGGAAGAACAGGAGGAGGTGGAACACAAGAGCGAAGAACAATATGAAACGGGCCTTCGGCACAGTAACGGGACCGACGAGGCTCTGGGGACACAGCACGACTGAGGGGAGAATGACGAGTCCACTGGGACGAGGAAAGGGACTCGACAGGGGGAACATGAGGGGACGGTAGGGGACCACGAACAAAGCGTGCAGGTGCTGAGTCGGGCAGGTCCCTAAGTCGCTGCTGCTCCGCCTCCTCTGGCGACTGCTGCTGCGACACCAACCCCCGCTGCTACTCCAGTGGCTCCTCCTCTACTCTCTCCTGCTGTGGCTGCAACAACACCTGCTGCGGCAGTCGTGATGCCTCCTCTACTCTCTCTTGCTGCGGCTGCAACTGCTCCTGCTGCTACAGTCGTGACTCCTCCTCTAGTCTCTCCTGCTGTGGCGGTGACTCCTCCTCTACTCTCTCCTTACGCTCCGACTGAGACTGCTGCTGCTGCTGCTGTCGTGACTCCTCCTCTACTCTCTCCTGGTGCGGCTGTGACTCCTCCTCTACTCTCTCCTGACGCTCCGACTAAGACTGCTGCTGCTGCTGCTGCTGCTGCTGCTGCTGGTGCTGTCGTGCCCTCTCAAACCGCTCCCTCTCCTCCCTCTCCAACCGGTCCAGACGCTGCACACGGGTCAGGAAACGTACAGTGCGCGGTGTAGGCGTCGCAGTGCCCGTGTCTGCAGCTCCAGCACCCCCTGAACCAGAACCTCTCGCAACGACACCCCCGGTGTCTCCAGTACCTCCCGCAGGAATACCCCCAGGCTCCGCAGCTACCGGCCGCAGAGACGAACGAGGAGGAAACTGTGGGACAGACGGGAAGCCACGAGGTGAGGCGGGGCTAAACCGCCGAGTCGAGACACCCGTGTCCTCCACAGGAAAGGTCTCCACCCTCACACACCCTGCACCCCCAGAGCCAGCACCACCAGGTCCAGCAGCCCCAGTACCCCCACCCTCCGCAGTCGCACCTCCCGCACCCCCAGACATGACAGGGACAGGACGCTGCGGGGGAGACGACTGCGGAGTGACGTGCGACACACCTGACGGGGCAGGACGCGAAGGGGGGGGAGCTACCGGGGCGACGGGGGGGGGGGGGGGGGGCTCACGGGTGAGGAACAGCGGGGGGAAAAGGCCTCAGAACCTCGGTGGGGGCGACTCCTGTAGTAACTGACCGAGAGGTGACGTCCTGAGAGGCAAAGAACTGGTGGGTGACTGGGTCGTAGAAGCCTGAGGCATCGAGTAGGAAGTCAAGAAAGACGCAGGCACGGGTGCGTGCAGACAACTTGTTCGCGCCAGGGGCGCGAACGTGGGCCGGGGAACCCCAGACGTGGTAATCGGATGCTACGCCCGGAGAACCTGTCCAAAGGGAGATCGGCGTCACCCGTGGCCGTGCGTCACTAGGCCACAGGTTCAGCTGGTGCGCGGCGTAGCGGACTGCCTGAGGCCACTGGAACTGGGGGGCACCAGCATGGCACATGGAGGTCCGGGCAACCTCCATGACCAGGCCGATGCGTCGCTTGGCTACCCCGTTCTGCTGCAGCGAGTCTGGTAGCGTGTAAGACTGGATGATCCCCCGACCCTGACAGAATGTCTCCACGCGAGTGGAAGAAAACTCACCACCACGGTCCGAGTGTAGGGGGAGCCCACACAGGCCCTGGGCGCCACCCCTCGCTAGTAGCCACGGCTCGAGGACGGTAGGCACGTCGGCCTTCCGTCGCAAGGGGAAAACCGTGGTGTAGTGGGAGTAGTCGTCGAACACAATCAGGAAGAAGTGCTCCAGACGTGGGCCAAGGACCGGGGAGCGGCCCCAGACGTCCATGTGCAGGGTCTGTAAGGGAGCCGTGGTGGGGGGGAACGAGGAGGAGTGAGGGGCAGCGCGCTGCCGACCCTCGACGCAAGGAGTGCACGGCGGCGCAGGCGAGCGGGGGAGCGGAGCGAGCGACTCTGGGAGACCTGAGACCAGACGGTGGCGTACCATCCTACTGAGACGAGGGAAGGACGGGTACCCTAGACGGTGGTGCTAGAGGACCGACGGGTGGGTGAGTGACCGACAGTCGCACGACACAGCAGCTACCTGACCTGACCTGACATGACCTGACCCAGTGCGTAACGAGTACAAACCGGAGCCTGGCTTTTGTGTGAAAAGTGGCCAGTGGCGCCCCAGTGGCACCGACTGTACAGGAGGCAATAGGCTCGTCTAGAGGGAAAGTGGTGACAACTCCGAGGTCGTGGAGGTGATTGACACCCACCAACTTCCTAGAGAACGAGGGGGTGTAGTAACCTATGACAAAACCAGAGGGAGCCGCTGGACACGGGAGAGTGGTGGTGCTGTGGGCAACTACAAATCCCACGGAGGGGTCAGCTAAGGCAACAGTGACTGGAGTGTGCAGTGGCGTGAGGTCGGTGCAGTCGCGAAAGAAACAGCTAGACGCTCCAGAGTCTAGGGTGAAGGAAAGCTGTGCAGTTGGTGAGGTCGCACCCGAGCCAGCGACAAAGGCTGGTACTGGACTAGTGGTAGCTGCAGCTCCTACACTAAGAACCTCTGAGGCGCTTGGACCGGAAACTATACACGCACCAAGACTGGAAACACAAGTCCCAATAGCAGCTGCAGCTCCCACGTACCGGTGTGTGTACTGGCCGGGTCCGACAGGGCCCCGCGGTGGAGGTTGCCGCAGGCGTTGCTGCTGAACCCTCCACTGCTGCTGCGGCCACCGGTGCTGCTGCCACTGCTGCTGCTGCGGCCACTGCTGCTGCTGCTGTCGCTGTCGCCATATCGACATGGCACGCTAGTACGGGGGTAGGGGCTAGTCGAGGCGGCAGTACTAGTGGTAGGTCGGCCTAGGCTGGTGTTGGCGCGACTG